TTTCCTTCCCTTCTAGAACAGAAGCATAAAGTGGTCAGGGATTTTTCTTTTAATCAATGATGAACCGTAAGTCTTAGAACATTGCTGGGAACAGTGTGTGCCCAGTAAATATTTATTAATTTAGTGAAGTGCTATTATTTTATACAGCCTAGTTCACAAGGATACTTTCCATACTGGCTTCCTTTCTCTAAAACCTGACAGTTTTCAGTTTTTCGGAGTCTGAACTTCTTAGGATGCTTTACAAAAAAAGAACATCGAAGAAAAAAACAAACTTTTTAGGCACATTCACTTTCCAATTGTAGGACTTGAATCTTATATTTTTGAACGACATCATTCTCCTCACTCTCCTTAGGGGGTGCAAGACTAAACCTATATTGAAATCCAAAAACTCATAAAGAGAATTCATTGTTCTGGTATTTCTAGCACAGTACAGGAGAATAATTTACATATGCAAAAACAGTAAGTGTTAATATAACTGATGTCTCTATACATGATTGTCAAGTTACTTTCATGCATTTACATCTAATAACAGGAAGGAAATTTTGTTATATTTTAACCTTCATGATATATCCACATCCCATTTTAAGTGGATTTTAGGGCCTTTTGCTTCTTCATCATTAACAAGAACTATCTTGTGCAATACAAACATTTACATACTTAACCACAAAAATATATAAATAAATAAAATAAACACAAAATTTGTGTTTTAGAAACACGAAGTTTTAGAAGCTTTGCTTTATTATTTATTTGTAATGTTTAATCTTTATTAAATTGTGTGGCTGTCATACAAGCACATTTCTATTATTAGCATGTCCTCTTGACTGATATCTCTAATTCCCTTTCATGTAAAAACGTTGAAGACATCACTGCCAAGGAATTATTTTACAACCTACATATCTGAAGCTTAGAAAAAATTGTAATAGTGTACTCAACCATTTTCTTAACTATTGGGTGTATAGTCATTTGGTTGTTTGTTAACATGGCTTAATAGTTGTATATGTGTGTGTGTGTGTTTTCTCATCAATAATGTTCATCTGATTGTCATTACAGAATCAAATATAATTTTGTTTCTCAAGCCTAAATCAGTGGATAGTGACGTTAACAGTAACAGATTGTTAAGGAGCAAATGAGAAATTTCAGTAAAGCTGATAAAAACAATCGTCTCCCTTTGAATTTACTTATCAGCCTCAGTCATGCAAGAAATGTTATTGTTAGATGGCACGTAAAAAGATAATAGTTACAAGAGTGAGATATTTTCCAGCTTAGTTTTTATCCACTGTGGCTTATCTATGTTAAGAGGATTCTGAAGTTATCTGCACTGTATGTTGGCAATTTCTATTTCACTAATACAGCAGGATAAGGCAATTTTCCATTCAAACATTGTGAGTGCAATTAGCAGCAACTTTGCCAGTGCCTCAGAAGATGCCCAGTATAATTTGAGGACATGTTTCATAGGCACAAACAGGGAATCAAGAGGAAAGAGATTTTAAGTGGTTTCATTTTGGAGGACTGAGATTCAAATTACAATGTGTACATACACTAAGAGGTATATGAAAATCACATAAAAGGGGAAATTATTTGATCTGGCATTTGGAAAATTATTAAAAAGCAGAGTAACAGCAGGCTATAAAAATGATCTTGTTTGCAGGCAACATTTGTTTTTGTTTCCCCACTGGAGAAGTTTTGGATGTTCAATTATAGGCCTCATTGCTTCAGTGTTATTTTCAACTGAAACGTTGGAACTTGGAAAAGCATATCTAATGTGCAAATTAAGTTTATTGCTGCTCATTTAGTTGTTTATTCTTTGTGATAGAAGTCTTCATTATACCAGCATTACAGACTGGCCTATCGATTTTCTCCAGCAGAATGAGAGTATTCACTAATACCGGTCTACGTTTACTAAGAGAAATGCTCAAGATACGTAGATAATTGGAGGCTTTGTGGCACTAAAAGGCAGTTTGAAGGATTTGAGGTATCAAGCTCAGCGTTATTGAGAAGTCCAGCTTGATTGAGCAAACCAAAATTACAATTTCAGAGAAATGACAAGATGCATTGGAATACATTTGTCATATTGTAGTACTAGAAAACACCAGAGAAGTCTCCAGTAGCACTAAAATCTCCCCCAAAATATTCTATTCCACATGCCACTTTCCTACAAAGAATAACTGAAAGCATTTCAATAGAACAAAGACTTTGATTTAAAAATTATTGATGAAAAATTATTTTCAAGATGAGACAATATATAATGAGTTATTATACTGGTCAGATGAAAAATTTTCCTGTTCCAATATTGAAAGTGATGCTGAGTGAATTACTAAAACTTGAATACTATAATCTCTTCAAGTAAAAGTGTAAAAACAAGCACAAAACATGCATCATTTTAAGCAAGCCCACTAAGATCAATGTTATCTTGTTCTTCATGACAATTTAGTTCATAGTCTTTTTAAAATGTAGAACATGTCACTCAGATTAAATTACCACATAAATTATACAGCTGTTTTTCTTTTTTACAAAACATAATGTGAAGGATAGATATTAATACATTATAGGTTTTGCCACTTTTTTTCAAGATGCTTTTACTGCATAGTTTAAGGCTATTCTTGGTCAATGTTTTGTTTTGTTTAGTTGTGATAAAAATAGGGAATGTATATCTAGAGTTTTATGCCAGTTGAAGGAGACCAGACACAGAAGAGTACAGACCACTTTGATAAAGTGGTTAATGCACAGCCTCTGAAATTACATTAACCTGCTGTTACTAACATGGACGTTGATGACTTTGTTTTTATTGTTATTCATGTTGTATTTATTATTATTATTATTCATTACTATGTGTTGAATACATGCTCTGTCCCAGGCACCATGATAGGTTATTTGTGTATATCATCTCATTTAACTTTCAGAACA